ATAACTCATTAAATAAGTTAAATGTGAAAAGTAGTCACTTTTTGAGTTATTAATGCAGTTGGAGCAATATATCCTATCATTTTTCGGAAAAAAAGATGAAATATACTTCTGATCAGCAATCGAACTATCGCTGCCGATTGCAAATGCTCCAACGATAAGATCCAAAATGGCAGAAGAGTCAACTATCCTATATAGATTAAAGATTGGAAATTGTTTATCTACTGGCTTTCTTTAGAATTCGGGTATTCTCCAGAATTCTGTACTTGGACCAACTCTTTTCAACTTATGAATCATTTGTTTAGTGTGATAGGTGATGTAATCTGTTATGAAGACATTGTTTTGTTTAATTCTGCTGAATTTTGTTCTTCGACTGTTGTTGACACGAATCAAACATTTTCTTGAATTAAAAATTTTATGTAGCTAAATAATTGTAAGTTGAGCATTCATGAGGAAAAATTTGTATATTATTTAAGAATGAAAATAAGCAAATTAGTGATACCGAAGTCAGTTTAAAGATTGAAAATAAAATCTTAAATCCAATGGATTGTATCAGATTTCTTAATATTGCGATTGATGAAAATTAATGTTGAAATTCTCCAACATTAATTTGAATATTACTGAAGTTTTAAAATTTCGGAGTTAAGGTTTGGTGTTAGTTTTATTGGATTAAGGCAACGCGACACATAGGCAATCTTCCGAAAGGGAGTCCTTTTATGGGCCTCTATTTAGGTGTTACCGACGTAAAAATCCGGAAAACTCAACGTGGCCAACCCGTTGGCGAGGCGCGAACCCACGACCAATTGACAGTGTTCAGCGGTTTTATCCACACGGCCACTGGTGAGCCTCGAAGTTTAGGAACGTAGAGTTTTAGTTATTCGCCATGAAAACTAGGATAAATTTTATTTTAGGAGCAGTGTTGCCGTTCCTAGTACATTTGTACTTTTCTGGTACATTTTGCCCTTTCCAGTAAATTGAAAGTACATTTAGATTTTTAGTACATTTTCAGTACATTATAATATTTCAAGTACCATTTACGGTACAAAATAATATTTCACGCCTTAACGAAAAAATGAGAAAAAATTAGTTTAATAAAGTCTCACTAGTGTCACTGCTTGCTAATTTAAATTATCCAATCACAACATACAAATGGTGTGTGTCCGTCGACGTCAGCAACATAGATAGTTGCACGTGTAAACGGTCTTGACTCAGTGGTCTTCTTTCACACGTTCAGTTGTCTGCACATTCTCATCAGGACCTTGACAAAATTTTTCATGCCACGTGGTCTAAACAATTCAACTCCGTCAAACAAAAATAATGGACAGGTAAGAAAATCAATAATTTTAAACTTTTGTCGTCAATAATATCAAAATATCCGTTAAGTCACAATCAAATTATTACAGAAAATAGTTTTGAAATTGTACGAGTATAAATAATATAAAAGTATTTATATTATTTATACTCGTACAATTTCATATTCGTATAAATAATATAAATACTTTTACAGTATATTATTTTCTACCACTATAATTTATTTCTTAAATTATGAACTTCAATTTTAGTAATCGTAGTTAAAGAAATAACGGTTAATGTTACGTGTGGTTCTAAAATGGCCGCGCTTCCGACTGTTCCAAGGTCTATATAAGAAGGCCAGGACACGCGTGATCTACTTCTTGAGCCGCCATTTTGGGGTTGTTTTTTGAGTCGCATGTTTTAAGCAAACAAGAATATAATAATATAATATAACAAATTTATAATTATTTTTTTAAAGCACGATTGGTTATAAAATTAAGATGAAATTCAATAATATTATTATTAAATGTTGTCAATGTAATGCTCATTTTATAATCACTAATAGATGTGTAGATATATTTTTAATTTTAAATAGCTTTCAAAAAATTCCAAAAATAAGATTTAATATTAAATTATTTGACAATAAACTATATATACACGTAAACACGTATTCATACACGTAAGCACGTAAACAAAGTATTCATAGAACTAATACATTTTGAAGGAAAATAGTACATTTTTTGAAGGCGCATCAGTACGTTTTGAAATTTCATTGCGGCAACACTGTTTAGGAGGCTCCTATATTTTCCACTTAAGCGAAACTGCCACTTAACTGAGGCGGCCACCAAGGTGGAGTTTGAAATTCCCCTGTAAAACTTATGTAGTTTTACAGGGGAATTTCAAAGGTTCACTTAAGTGAAGTTTTACTGCATATTAGTTAATATAATCTCAAATGATTCAAATATCTCAATCGCATTATCCCAAATATCATTGATGTATAAAATTCCTAAATTTTTTTGATCGAATTTGAAATAACGAGATTAATAGATTTACTTTTAAACAGTCAGCTTGTAATTGGTTGTGTTAAAAAACATTCTGTAATTTCGCAAAGATATGTAATTACAGCATAATGTTGCCAAGTCCTACGTGTTTCCCTTAAGCTTTACGTGTTTTTGGTTTATTTTACTGTTTACATTCTTAATTCTGCCGTAAGTAGGTTTCTTCCTTTATTTTAATAATGTACTTTATTTTCTTTTTACTATAAAATCATATTTTAAACACTCTAGTAGATGTACCTGAAAATTGGTTGCAAACATAGCCATTAATTCAAAAATTGTTGGCAACAAGAATTTGATTTCAAGGATTTTAATGAAAAAAACTAACGGTAACGATAGAAAACGTTTCTAGGGTGATGAATTTCGGTAACAATAGCTTTTCCTATCTCTAATTATTACGCAACACTTGTTCAAACAAGTAAATGTGACTAATAGTGTCTACTCCGTTCGAAAAACGTCAAATAAACTTCGGAATTGGAACAATTTAATATAAAATACTATTGTTTTAAATTCTGTTTAAATTAACTGTATAATATTAAGTTTTTTTAGGTTAAATAAAAGAGTTTTTAATATTTTTAAAATGCATTTTGAAAATAAAATAAATTATATATACAAAATATCAATTTGTGTTTAATACTCGATTGCATGAAAATGCTATGGTAATGAAGTGCAGTAAATCCCTCTGAAAGACCACCCTTCCAAAGTGATCACTCCCATTAGTGGTCGCAGAGTAGATGTTTTGCTGTGTTTATTAACGAACTCTAGGGCATTTTTATAATATCATTTAATTTACTAAAATGGAAAATATGAAAACAGTTTTTAAATTTTAAGTAAAAACGTATTTTAAAACAGCCTTTTCGCTCTTTATTTCACCAACTTGTAAGTGAAAGTGCAATACCAATAAATTCAAAAATTCTGTTTCCATTCATAATTTTGATTAATGACAAAATAAATATTTTATCAATTATTCTCATTAATTTTAATTGTTTTACTTTCCCGTTTTAAAGATAGAGTAAGAACAAATGACGATGATGATCTCATACAACGAAACTGAAGAAGTTAATTTGTTTTTCCCATATTCTGTTCCCATATTCCCATATTCTGTAAGTATTATACTAAAATATGAAAATAAATTGAATGTGAATTTAAAAATATGTATTTGCAAATTTTACTTTTTATATCAATCATCACATTGCAAGCTATCAATTTAATAATAAAATTACGCTAGTGTTCATCTGAAGGAACGCTCTTTTTCCCTGAATAACTCTAAGAGAAAATTCCAATATTTGAGCTGACTATTTTTACAGTGGTTTTATTTAGCAGAAAAATTGGAGATTATGGCTGTGTACACATTAGGCGTTTTTAAACGCGCGTTTTAAAGAATCAAGCGTTCTGCATAGGCATACATACTCAAACGCGCGTTGATAGATTTTTGTTAAAACGCGCGTTTTACGGGCGCTTTAAGATATACGTGCTGCCATGTTGTACATATTCGATCGCGCGCTTTCGGGTAGAGTGGACGTATGTTGACCGAAATGGAAAACGATTATTTCGATACTGATCTATTTATTGATGAAATCTAAAAGAGACCAGCCATCGTCAAATGATTTTATAGATATTCTAAAAGAATTAAAAAATTTGGGTTCATATTGCCTTAGTTTTGTATACAACGTCAGAAACATTCCATGCGTCAGTCTATCTCGTAATATTGGGTGCACCCAAAATTTTCTTTGCCTCTTGCATCGTCCTTTATAGCGACGGAGGAGGCGCATACAAGCATTTACTTTCACGTCCATTTCCAAACTGAGCCAGTGCTAACGCTCCACTAAACGGTCGTCGAACGCCGAGCTAACGCGCGGTGTGTACGCTGCTAACGCGCGTTTAACGCAACGCAAAACGCCTAATGTGTACACAGTCTAAATCGCAAAATTTTTCACTGATTTTCAAAATTTATTTTATTGACGTACTTCGTGTCTTAGTTCTTGACTACAAATAAACATTCATACGAAATGAAGTGTACGTAAGCTACTGAATTTCGTAGTATTCTAATTGTAAAGTATAATCTGTCCAAGATCATTTTGTTCAGCGATTAGGCATTCTCATTGATAGTTGATAGCACGTAACTCCGTAATTTTAAATTAAAGAGTTTATAGTGGGCTACAAATTTTTGCTCTTTTAATCGTTATAAAGTAAATTATGACAGTTGAAACAAATATATTTAAACATACCTAATATTTTTTATTATTTTTTTTGTTTTTAAATGGTGGTCATCCAAAAACTGTAGAGTAATTTATCCTAAAGTAAAAAAAAAAATTAAAATTCATTTGAAGACGTAAAAACGTATAAGGAATGAATTATTAGAAAACATCCCTGACCTGGTATAAATTTGATTTTAAGGGGAAATATGTTTNATGAGAAAATCCGCCAAGTGTCTTAATTTATAGCACTATATTGTGTCAGAAGCATAAACAAATAGCAAAGCACGGTTTCATATCATCAAAATCCGCCAAGTGTCTTAATTTATAGCACTATATTGTGTCAGAAGCATAAAAAAATAATAAGTTAAAACTCTATATTATCTATAATCACGAATATATTGATCGTTTTTATTATTTAAAAATAAAACATATCAAGACACACTCAAATGTTGACTTTAGAAAATTTATTGCTTAATTCAACTTGAATATTTCTAATTTCGTCTTTCCTTGTATAATGAATCAATCATATATAATTTCTGCCCAGAACCCACAAATATAATCATGGGATATTGAAAAGCATGAAGACAATACACTGGATCGACGAGATTAAATAAACTCCCCGATATCAGCCAGCTGTAACAATCAACAAGGCACATTAGATTTTCTTCAGAGCCACCAGCTACAATGAAATGATTATTTATCCACTGGCTGCAAAAATAATAAGTATGATGTAAATCAGAATAGACTTCTCTAATCTTTTTCCCGCTATCAAAACTCCACACCTCTAAATTATTTCTTGGTTTCCAGGAAGCAGTAAGTATCTGACCTTCAAAAATATCAAGTCCCTTTCCACAAACGCTAGGTCCAAATATGCTTCTTATAGAATTTTTCTGTCTATCATCCCAAAACCGAACAGTATTATCCCAACCAGCACTTAGTAACACATTATTTACACTAGGATGATATTTAACAGTAAACACTTTTGATCTGTGACCATCAACCTTCCTTAAATCAAAACTTGCTTCTAAAGTATTTATTTTCTGTTTGGTTTCAATGTCGTATATTCCTAATTTTGGAATAGTTCCAGCTGTTGCAAACTTAGTATTTTCTGGATTTATTGCACAATCCATTAGTTCCTGCTCTTCTTTAATCGTTTGCAAACACACATGAGCGAGGTAATCCCAAAATTTGATGTGCCCAGAATTATATATCGCAATCATAATGTGATGTAACGGACTGGCCGAATCTTCAGAAAGAAAGTAAATAGCCATTACAGCAGAATACTTATTTAGATCAGAATCAATAAGAGTGGTAATTAACAGCCCATCGGTTATGTTATATAATAAAATTCTTCCGTCCAATAGCCCTACAGCCACTATATTTTCACTTTTTATACCTTGACAACTCATTACGCATTTATTGAACGACAATTTATTTTTAATTCGAATTCTTCCTTCCACATTCGGTTCATTTTCAGCAGTTTTATCTTCCACATTTTCTTCTTCGTCATCCAGCATCCAATTAAGTCTTCTCTCTTTGTGAGAGTCATCAGCACATTCACTTATCATTGTCAAAGTTCGTTTTAATTTCTCTAATTATGGAATTTTCGAACACAGAAAAAGAAATTCGAACTCGGCTCGCGCTTTTAAAACGCTAATTTGTCTTAATATTAATTCTTTATGTATATATTAATATTTAATATAACGCGCAAAAATTCGAAAAATACCTCACCCACTGCAAGTCTAATCACGCCGTGTATTTCACGTCAATATAGCTAATATTTAAAACGATAGTCCTAGCTAAATGTGTAATTGGGCTGTAATTTTAAAATTGCAGACCTATAAATTAACACTATGTAACACTGGCGTCCGTCTGCTGACCTACCTTAATCTCGAGAACGGAGTTAGCTAGATGAAAATCGAGACCAGAAATGAAAAGCTTAGGAGCCGGAGACCCGATTAACTATATTTCAATTCAAACATATTATCAGAATTAGATACAGTAGATGACCGGCATTTCAACAGAAAAAGTGTGATGTACAGGGAAAAGACACTACTAAAACGACAAATTATTTATTGTGACATCGTCACAACGCTGGGATGCAATTTTTAATTTTTATTTAATTTAAAATATTTGCTCTCTACCTCAAATTAGTAGTATAGTCCCCTGTACATAATACTTTTCCTGTAGCAATAGAGTTATGCCGTCATCTAACTCCTTACAGGAGAAAGTTTTTGAATTGAAATAGTGACTTTCGATTTACATCGTAAGTTAATGTAAGTGCTAACTCCGTTCTGCAGATTAAGGAATTTATGTCTACAATTTTTTCAAATTGCAGCCCAATTTAGAGCATTATGCATCGAGATCATTTTTACAGATTGACATTTTTAAGATGTCACAATAAATAATTGCTCGTGTTGTGTTTACAATAGCATTACTTTCTGTCATTTTGCTAACGAAATCAGAACTAAAGGTGAATTAAACAATAAACCGGTGAACGAAATTAAATTTCAGCATTCTATTGGATGATCATATAAGGAAACTCAATATTTATCGAATCAGTCTAAACAAGTTACTTTCTTTATGGTATATATCTATAATAAATTTTTAAAAAATCTATTTCCGGTCTATAATTCTCAGATTTATTGTTGTGATAATTGTTTTTGAAAACATTATTTAATTATCACTTTTATAATAGCTACGAAAATTTTATATCTGTGACTTACAATTTTATTGAGTTAAAGAAAAAACCATGTATCACTTATGAAACATATAATAGTAAGAATATGGAGAACTTTTAGCGGATCAAAAACAACTGATACTTTTCTCGTCTGTTTTATTATTGTTATTATAAAAAAAATTCATACGCATAAAATATTATCAAATTGTATTTGAATGATATTTTAAAATATTTTTTGTAATTCGAATTCGTCCCATTGACTTTGTCTAGCGGGGAAGGGAGCCAAGAAATATTTTCGTAATTACTTCGATATTAATAGTAAGTCTGTTCGATTGGAAGGGGTAATGCACATTTTTACGCAAATTTGACGTCATTCCTTAGGAGTTTTCATTGTAACACAGACTTTAAAATGTTCACTGTCTGAACCAATTGAACAGACCGAGTTTATTTACTGTATTGTGTATAAGTGAGTGAAGTACAATAATTATTTTATAAAACTTTAAATTCAGAACATTATTGAAAGTAGAAAAGTACAAAAGTAGAAAAATTCTTAATCATCTTATTTATATTTTTATCATATTTTCAAACATAGAAAACATTTCATTTATATTTTTCTTGTCAAAAAGACCATAGAATCTATTACTTTTCAACCTTCTCACTAAAGATTATTATTGTAAGGATATAGTTGTTGATGCGTTGCAATTGCGATCTGTGACCACTCGTATACGATTATGTCTGTTATAAGATAAAATATACATCTTTATATGTAATAAAAAATATAAAAATTTCTATTTTATAACTCGTAATAAACGCACCGCTTAATCAATTTATGGATATTGGATAATCCAGACATAAATTGTAATAGCAAGAATAGAAAGTTGCAAGCAATTGAGACCTTACTAAAGAACTATTAAATAGCATTAAAAAAAAAATAGTAAAATAAATTCTAAAAGCTGGTTTTTTGTTATGTTACTATATTTTATAGCTTGCTTATTCTCTTTAGTAAATCCTTTTCTCACAATATATTCTTATAGATTTTTCCGGTTGGCATCATTTTCGATTGGAGATAGCGGTTTAGTATTGGCGTTTTGTGGATACAATATAGTTACTTTTTATTTTCTAAGTTTTCCTTTATATACAACAATAAAGCACCAATGCGTTGTCGATAACTTATATTGAACTAACTAGTGATATGGTCGTATCGTAATTTATCATTACTGGTCTTCTAACTAAATTTAACACAGAAGCGTAACTGTTATTATATTTAAAATTTCTATAAATCTTAAAAATTACTATTAATTTTATTTCTAACAATTGTTGGATCTTTCTGGATAACCTAAATTGTTTTTGATAAATAACATAATAGAACTACTTACGGATAACAAAGTGCTCTCTACTGATTTCATTCCATTCGCAATTGCTCTGTCGATTGATAATCAATATCTTAACTTTGCTCAGAACCATTTAACTTTGAAATAATATTTCGATTGATGGCCCTAAATTTATTTTTCTCGTTTGTTAGAGCAAGCAAAATTTTAATTATTGATTAATATACGCTTAAATATTATTATATATCATATTATTTTATGACAAATTCAATCGTATTTATTAATTATCAAGATAGAGAGAACTGCTTTTAATATTTTAGAAATCATCACACGTCTATCCCTTTAAAATTTAAAACAACAAGTCTGTAAAAATGTAGTCAAGCAAAATAAAAACTAGTCTTTTAACAATTCTTTTTCAATACGACAGTAATTGCAAACAGTAGTGTAACCAGGTGAACAACTCCCTTATCTTTGTAAATAAATAAAGAAAGCATTAAATTAGTACACGAAAAAGATTTTAATGTGTAAACGCACGTATACACATTGTATACAATATCTAAGAGATTTTTTCTTCATTCATAGAGCTAGTGGTCATATCCACAATGATACAGTGGTGAATGTACTGTAACTTCACTATTTATAATGCTCAACTGAAATGTTCACGAAAATGAACATTTCAGTGGAGATAGCAAGTTTTAATGAGCCTTTAAAGAATTTTCATTTGAGCAATTTCATTTATATATTAATATATTTTTGTTATAATATGTCATTACTAAAACAAACTAAAGAAAAACTTGCGAGAGGCAAAATCACCCCAAGACGGAAACTTATTAAAGCCAAAAATTGCATGTATTTCGGCATTGGAATCACTTTCTCCCCACAAAATAACCTGTATAATTTGGAATCCATGAAACGCGAACGCAAAACTGTGTGTTATACTTCTGTTATTAATTGACGTTAATTAGAACTAGTGAAGTAAAGAAAATTAAGCAAATATTGAATCGAAAAGAGTGATTAAAAAACACATTAGGAATAAAATCAAGTGAATGGAACGCCGATACACGAACTGTAATCATAGTGGTGCCTCGTACTTCGAATTTAATTCTTTTCAGGAAGCCGTTCGAACTTTGAATCATCCGAAGTCCGAATCAATTCTTCCTATTAGAAATAATTTAAAATGAATTCATTCCCAGACTTTAAACAATATCCACTTGTTGCTTCCACACACTTCTCATAAGCTATGGTTAATGTAGAAAAGACTATACAGTATTGTCTTAAAAAGAAAGATTTTTCGTATTTTTAACAGCTGTCGTTACTTAACTGTTTTAATAGATGTGTAATTTAATTATAACAATTGTTAACCTTAACTCATTATTGCTAATGTAAGATTGTAATGTTTGTTTAGAAACTTATTTTAAACCTTTTATTTCACATTTTGTTTTAATAAAATCAAGTTCAAATGCTTGTTTGTTATATTTTTTTACGACAACGCGATGCATGAACGATATGCCAAGGATGAATGCGTCCAGTGATGACTTTGGGAAAAAAGGCCTAGTTTAGATGTTACTAGTGTGAAGCAAATCTGCAAAATACCACCTGACCAGCTTGGCAAGGCACGAACCACGAGCAATTACCAGTGTTGAGTGGTTTTATACACTCGGGCACTGGTGGACAAAGTTGAAATATCTTTAGATTAAAAGCATATGAAGCATATTATTCTCTGAGTTTCCGACAGGATACAATACCATACAAATAGTATTTTAAACGAAAGATTCACCCTCACAGTAAATCTGTGAGGGTCGAATTATAATTACTTGTATACCAAAAATATAATTCATAAACTGTAGTTTGTCATAAAATTTAACATAAATTGAATTTCAAAGTTTCATTTATCAGTAATTTACATAAATATAATTACCTGTTTAGAAAAGGGCAACGTTTCAAGTTATCAATTCAAGCTGAAGCTCTATCTATAATTTAATTAATAGTTGCTCTTGAATAAAAGCGTTTTCTATTAAAATAATTTGAATAGTTTCCTGTTGAAATATATTCTGTTACGATAGTATATCGTAACAGAATATATTTAAATTTCACACTTTTTTAAATTTTCCACTTTAAAGTCAAATAAACGAGTCTAATCGACGTAAAAGAATATAACTTTGAGGAAAAATAATTTAATAGTATATTAGAATATCAATTAAAGAGCGGGATAATACAAAGCGAAGCATAACGTGTCAATAAGCGGATTGCAGAACAATTTGGACAGCTTATCAGATTTATTTCATGGGAATTTATTGTTTGATAGCGCAGATTCTATATTAAAATTGAGTAAGCGAATAACTAAATTAAATATCGAAATATTTGAGGCCAAATTTCTTGATTTGTACGTAATGTCAGCTTCTTTTGATTTTGAAATACTGTATATATTATTTTATTATATTTACATTAAAAGGCCAAAAAGTGATTTTTATCGGAAATGAAATGGTGCGCATTAAAAATGAATCTATCGCCAAGTCCCGTTTTTCGGAGTTTTAGCTTCATAATAATAATTTCGGGCTACATAACATCGAGGGCAAAGCTTAAATTTTACAGAATTAATTATAAAGCAATTATAAAGAAATCTGAAGTCGTATTTTGCACATAGATTTTAATAAAATTATAAGAAGAATAAAAACGCTTATATGATGTTACATAATAAAGTTAAACATTTTCATAATAGGAATAAGTGGAAGTCACTATGAAATTGAGATAATTTTCTGCTGACAGAATTTCTATCCGTTGTTAAAGTTGTTCGCTCAGACTCTCGAATGTTTCATATTTTCCATAAATAAATGAAAAAGTAATGAAAATGTTACTAATATCGGCCTCTTCCCGTTAACTGCCATGTCACCAACACTCCGTCCTTTGATACGAACGCAGCCGATGCCATTTCTTGTCTTCTGTTGTCGCCTCCAATTAAATCGCTATCTGTAAGATTAATCTGTATTAATTTTTCTTGATGAGAAATATTGAGGACAGAAAAAATTTCTTCTTGTAAACATTGGCGCCAACGACTTTTTATCTGATCGACTATAGCATCGAGCCAATCGTATTTTCTCAAAATGGTGGCACAATCCCGAATCAAGTCCTTGCACTTCAGTACGACTTTCAGTTTGTCTAAATCTTCTTGCCAAATATCTAAAATATTGTCATCGTTATCTGCAATATATAAAATAATCGATTTCAATTCACTACATCGAAGTTGATTTTGTATTTCTGGTAACTTTTTAGTAATTACATTATAAAAAGTTTGGCAAATTCTTTTTATCATGTAAGTCATATAAGAAAGTGTAATTTCTCTATTATAACAACGAGATACAAGCAAATTAGCAGCTGCGATGGAAATGCATAAGACCAACCCTTCTGGTCCTGCTGTTTCTCTATTGTATTCGCAGCTTGTGTTATCTATAATCAATGGGCATAGACAGCCATTAAATCCTAAAGGAAAAAGATTTTCAAAATGAGCAATTTTAAGAAATCGAACGTAATAAACTGGATCTATATTTGGAAATTTTCTAGCGCGTAAATCTCTCGCTGCACCACCACCCAATGCTGCTAATGCTTTCCTCGAAGAATTAGAAAGATCGTCATTGCTCGTAACATTAATCTGAGGATTTTTTCTCCGAAACAAACCTACATCGTAAATCCAACGTCGAAACAAAATAGCAGGATGATGATATTCATCTCGATCTCCGTAAGACCATTGAAGCATCCCGACGTACGAACGAAATCGTTTGCTGTCGACTCGAATCCACTCTTCTCCATTTTCTAAAGAACAATGATGTTTTGCATCGTGAGGTAACTTTGCAGCATTATGAAGGAGGTTAATGAACCAAGTCCTTTCATTTTCTGCTGAAGGAACATCGTCTATCCATTGCCAAATTCCTTCGCACCAATTAAATGCTAATCGAATCCATAAACTAGGAACATTGGTGACTTCGTATAATTTTTGGCAGGTGCTTCCTAAATTTATCAGATCGAATGGACAAGTTAATAAAGTACAAATCTGATGAAGTATTAATTCCGGTAGATCTAAAATACTACAATTACTCATTTCTTGAGTAAATTTTGAAATCTTGCTTTTTAATCCAACTTTTATTTTCTTTCCCCTGAAAAAGTTCAATATTTAATATAGAAAATCTAGTATTTAAAATAAAATAAAATGATCTCTGAATACATTTTACAGTTTGCAATAATTAATAATCTACTTGTTTTCTACTAAACATATATTTAGTAAAAATCCTATACTTTTAATACGGTTGAGAAATCATTACAATTGTGCAAAATAGATAATGAATTAGATATATTTATTAAAAAGTAATTAAAGTGGGAGCAAGAGCTCTCTCATAGGTTCTAGGATATATTTTCCCCCTCCTAAAATTTATTTTTTTTTTCGTTTTTCTGTTTTGAAAATTTTATAAACAAAAGTATTTATAAAAATAAATTTGTTGTAGCCGTACACTGAAGCAATAGTTATATAATTCCCGCGCATTGAGTTGGCTCTTCTACACTTCTACTTCTCCTTAAGTCGTATGCAGAACAGGTAAATTCCGAGTCGGAATTTTTCCAAAGGAACCGTTCCATACTCGGAACTACTAGAAATCGTTCCACACCGAATGCTGAGATTGTCTAAACGGAACTATGAACACGTTTTTGTGTATTACGTGAAAAGCCGTATTCACAAATAATACACAATGTACTGTACACCGTACTCCCTTCTGATTTTGAAGTAAATAAAAATGTTCCACAAGTTTTTAGGAATGATAAAAATTAGTTTTGAGTATTTCAAATTTATATTTTTATTACAGGTCATAAATACAGCTGTCTCTTGATAATCCGACAGGTATGAGACCAAAGGGTGTCGGATTACCAAAAGTGTCCGGATTACCGAAAGTGATTACATATTTGGCATTGTTTTGCTAGCAGTAGCCTACAGTATTCTCTACTCCAACTGTTCGAACAGAACTGCTCACGGAAAACACACGAAATATGTGTCATCGTGTAAGAATTGGGTGGGGGGATTCACATCGCGACATGCTTTTGTGCAAGCAGACACATAACGGGGACGGGTACCTTGACGGGGGGTGCGTCGGACTACTGAGCATGTCGAATTACAAAACGTCGGACCATAAAGGGACAGCTGTACTTGCTTTTTATTAGTAATTTATAATTATGACAAATATGTAAGTTGCAAGTAAACACATTTTATTTATTACAGATAGTCCTATATAACCCGACGCTGCCCAGGCGAAAAATAAAATCAAACGTTAAAATGAACGTTATTTTAGCTAACCGTTGTTATGTTTATCACGAAGTGTCAAGAGAATCAGAGGATAAGAAGGATAAATCAGAGAGAGATGTAGTGTCCAGGGGCCGTATTCTGGTCACTGTCTCTGGTCTCTCGTCTCTCGCAAGCCGATCGCTGATTGACTAATTCAAATGATTAGCCAATCAGCGACCGGCTTGTGAGAGACGAGAGACCAGAGACAGTGACCAGAATATGGCTCCAGATTTCATACCGTTAATAATAATTATTATGCATTGCTTACTTATATAACAATGTAGTATACTTAAGTTATCATAGTGTCAAGGGAATGACAATAAAGGTAATGGGTGAAGACTTCCAGGTTTTATATTAGGTTGAATTTTTCACAGCGTCCTAGAGAATAAGTATAAAAAGTTTTGGTGCAAATCGGTCATAGCGTTTAAAAGTGTATTGAGAACAGACAGAGATTCTATTTTATACATATAGACTATGATGTTGACAGTAATGTGATTTCATGTTTCACTTTCACTATTCCGTTTCCAAATACAAAGAATATATTCTATTAGTTGATTGTATTCAGCGAAACTTATTCTAGACAGTTTTAACACATTCCAATTCCAGAAGGAAACAATTCAAATTCTACCTGTAGAATGCTCGCATGGACATTCGAAGAGGGACAAACGGGATAATTGCCCCTCCCTGGAATAGAGTAAAAATTTCTACAAATTATAAACGTAAAAGTGATTGAGATATGTAACACTTTGTCTATCTTAAAAAAGTCCAAAAAACTAAACAGTTGAATAAAACTAATCGTCTCCAAGCATTTTCATCCCTGAAAAACTTTCGGCGGATGTCTACGTAAGCAGGCACTGTACAAATTTGGAAAACGTGTTATTTGCGTTTATGATGAACTGTAGGGGCGCTGCGTCTTCACAAAATCGCTACGCTATCTAAACTGAATCTTATTTCACAGTATAATGTTATAATTGTAGTGGTTTAGCAAGAGATTTTATACCAGGCGAGCAATTACGTAATGTATCCTGTTAGCAATAATGCGGAATTGTCGAAAAAATTAATAATTTTCAATATCAAAACTTTGCTAAGTTTGATTTTTAATATTATCTTGTTATGCTCTGAATACATCTACATAAAAAATTATGTACAGTATATACTATATACTGTATATTAGCCATGTAATTGTACTATCATAATCTAAAGGAAAGAATATTTAGAACATTTTAGAATATTTAGAACGCCTTGCATTTTGTAACGTTTTGACCAATTAATACCGTATTTACTCGTATAATTGCGCATTTTTTTCCAAAAAATCGTGACAAAAAGTCTAGATGTCTGGAGAAACAAATTTGGTAATGCAACCGGTGAATCGTTTTGCTTATTTTGCTAGTGGTAAATTTCGCTTATCAACAGGACTATTTTGCTTAATGAAAGGGCATCTATAATCGATAGTTACGAGCAATATTATTTAAACATTTTAGTGTAACTAATTTTGTGAAAATAAAGATAAATAAAGGCAGTTAAATATACAAATGGCTGATGGTAATCGTTATATCTCTGTATTAACTTGCCACTCAGTTTCAGCTATTGGTCAATTAGCAGTTTTTTTCACTTTTAATTCAAATTAAACAAAGTAGAGACGTCTTATTTTCATTTAATTAGTTAATTCATAATAAAATAAATTGTCTGCAATTTGTAGTAATTTACCTGATATACAAATAAAAGATTAAAAAAAATTATAATAATAAAGAAAAAATATTAATACCGCGTAGACTTGTTAACTGAGAGTTGCCATGTTGAATGGTAAAATTTGTTAATTATGTAATAAATTTAAAAAATGGGTGCATGGATTATTCGAGTAAATACAGTAATAGAATCCGTTCCAATCGTCAGTTACGTTCGTAAACTTCTCATTATACTGTAACTTGTTTGTCGGGACAAAATGGTTGAAAACTTGTATTAGGTTCCCGTGTTACTTTAACAACTACAATTTGCAGAGCAACAAAAAACTTAGCTTTTTCTGTTACAATTTATCTTAATATTTTACTGTTACATTTTTATACGTTTATGTAATTTTTACATCATTTTGATTTGATAAGCTTGTTTAATTAAATAATTGAATAATTATAACTTTCTTATTAAATTTACCAGTAAAGAAAGATCCAGACTTTGTGGGCCTTGGTTTGGGTTTTTGTTCCCATGTGAATATACATATATAGTATATTTGTACCTTGATCCAAAGGATTTGGGGACAAGTCTGTAGTAAAAAAGCAATGTAAATTGTAAATTGTATTTTTTATCTTCGAGATAAAACCTGGGAGCTTGAATATAAAGAAAATACTAGATATTATTTTGAGTAATGCCATGAAAAAGAAAAAAACTTATAAGACTCTCCTAGCACTTCAATAAATAAGGTTGGTGAGGGTCCAGATATATTTGCAAAACAGTATTTTCTTCTTTTAACAGCACAAAAAAGGACTAATTAAAAAGAAATTCATTGCTTGAAAGAAAATAAACAAATTTTATATTTTATGAAACGAATTTAAATAATATACTATATGCGCCATCTATGAGAGGTATCTGAAACAACAACAATCATTGTTTCCTATTTCCAACGCAGTTATATTAATAGCTTGAATTCAGAACATTCAAAGCTATTTCAGAATATTTTTCGAAATAAGTCTTATATTTTTATAATAAAAAAACTAAATTAAAACGGATCTTCGATAACTCTACTTATTTAAAACGAAATAACGCCGTAGTAAACTACAACGTTATTGGTTAATTTCTATAGCAAACGATCACGTTTAGTAAACTAACCTTTCGCTTGCTTCGAGACACGACATCCTCTGGTGGCAAATTCCTTCGGAAGAAATACATAATATAAGATATTTGGAGACATTTTTGAAGTTGAAAAATTATTCTTATAGGATAAAATTACTATTAAAATTATATTTTATTATACAAAATTCAATTAATTTTTGCAGTTTTAAAAACTTTTAATAAAATTAGAAGTATACAAAGCCGTAATGAATATATTGAATCGGATATTCAATGAGAGACAGAACCGGACGTATTCGGTCCTATCCATGAAAAATTCCTGAAGCAATGGTCACACCTAGCGATTTCAGCCGCGCAGGTAACTGGAACTGCAACGAGCACGATTTGCACGCGTCTTGTCGTGGTCACATTGTTCGTTGGCGTTGCAACTCAGATACACGTGAGCTTATAATAAAATAATAATAATATATAACATCCACTTCGTCTGTTATTTTTTTTTCTTTAATGTGAAAGAATATTGTCGTTACTAAACTAAAAACAATAGTCATTTTACACCCAGAAATCTAAAAATGATACTTGCAATCAATGGCGAGACTTTCGCTTATCTCACGCCATGCCTGTACTTTTCTATCTTTTCTTCGATAAAACACAAAATTAAAATTCCACAGGCATTCGTGAGCCCAATAAGCTCGATTAAAACAATACGTTAAATCTGAATGGTTAAGTGAAATGCTTTCTAAAATATTAGGCTTTTACCGTACTGTTGGAAACGTAGTACTGATTGCATTGTGAAATGGACATATCCGTAGCTACAGTGAGCTATGAGGTGGCTAAGTCAGTAGTGTCCATATGCAGTATATATATAATACAGATGACTGCCGTAGAACGCGGGGGCTACGTTCCGCGTTATAGGAAATTGCGTTATACCAGACATGCATTATCAGACAATTTTATGCAAGAATAAACTAGACTCTGAGTTCCAGCACTGATCGTATATTGCTTTAAATAATGGGTTAGAAATAGCTACAAACATATTTCATGAAAATTGATCAGTCAACAGAGCTTTCTACGTTATTTAAAAGAAAATTAAATAATTGTCTATCCCCATATTTTCAAGCTAAAAATGATCTGGAAAAAGAACCGTGTATAAACAACGAGAATAATAAAGATGAAATTATGGACTCTTCCAGTGATGAATCTGTAGAGCCAATATTAACAAGACGTTGTTGTTGAAACTTCGGAGAAATGTGAAATAGTGAAGTATTTTTAGTTTTATATTTGTTCTCATTAAACGTTAAATAAAAACAGTTTACCCTTACATCTTTAAATGTGCATACTATTTTTTTTATAAATCTTTATATCTTTTATAACTATGGTATAGCTTTACTGTGTATATATAGGCCTAAACAATAGTTAAGTGTATGTATTCTGCGTTTCTATACAAAAAGTCCGTTATACGTGACTGTTTATAGCGTTGTATGAGTACTACAGTAGAGCGTCGTTTATCCGAAGGTCGGTTGTCCGAAGGAATTCCAGTCGACAAATTTAAATTTTCGCCAGTGCTGTGGCGCTGTAATCTTTGGCTATGTCTTCGGCTACTCAAATATTTTACGTTTTTGATACTAAATTAACTTCTGAAGTATAATTTTTTATTGTTTTTATATNTGTCATTTTGCTAACGAAATCAGAACTAAAGGTGAATTAAACAATAAACCGGTGAACGAAATTAAATTTCAGCATTCTATTGGATGATCATATAAGGAAACTCAATATTTATCGAATCAGTCTAAACAAGTTACTTTCTTTATGGTATATATCTATAATAAATTTTAAAAAAATCTATTTCCGGTCTATAATTCTCAGATTTATTGTTGTGATAATTGTTTTTGAAAACATTATTTAATTATCACTTTTATAATAGCTACGAAAATTTTATATCTGTGACTTACAATTTTATTGAGTTAAAGAAAAAACCATGTATCACTTATGAAACATATAATAGTAAGAATATGGAGAACTTTTAGCGGATCAAAAACAACTGATACTTTTCTCGTCTGTTTTATTATTGTTATTATAAAAAAAATTCATACGCATAAAATATTATCAAATTGTATTTGAATGATATTTTAAAATATTTTTTGTAATTCGAATTCGTCCCATTGACTTTGTCTAGCGGGGAAGGGAGCCAAGAAATATTTTCGTAATTACTTCGATATTAATAGTAAGTCTGTTCGATTGGAAGGGGTAATGCACATTTTTACGCAAATTTGACGTCATTCCTTAGGAGTTTTCATTGTAACACAGACTTTAAAATGTTCACTGTCTGAACCAATTGAACAGACCGAGTTTATTTACTGTATTGTGTATAAGTGAGTGAAGTACAATAATTATTTTATAAAACTTTAAATTCAGAACATTATTGAAAGTAGAAAAGTACAAAAGTAGAAAAATTCTTAATCATCTTATTTATATTTTTATCATATTTTCAAACATAGAAAACATTTCATTTATATTTTTCTTGTCAAAAAGACCATAGAATCTATTACTTTTCAACCTTCTCACTAAAGATTATTATTGTAAGGATATAGTTGTTGATGCGTTGCAATTGCGATCTGTGACCACTCGTATACGATTATGTCTGTTATAAGATAAAATATACATCTTTATATGTAATAAAAAATATAAAAATTTCTATTTTATAACTCGTAATAAACGCACCGCTTAATCAATTTATGGATATTGGATAATCCAGACATAAATTGTAATAGCAAGAATAGAAAGTTGCAAGCAATTGAGACCTTACTAAAGAACTATTAAATAGCATTAAAAAAAAAATAGTAAAATAAATTCTAAAAGCTGGTTTTTTGTTATGTTACTATATTTTATAGCTTGCTTATTCTCTTTAGTAAATCCTTTTCTCACAATATATTCTTATAGATTTTTCCGGTTGGCATCATTTTCGATTGGAGATAGCGGTTTAGTATTGGCGTTTTGTGGATACAATATAGTTACTTTTTATTTTCTAAGTTTTCCTTTATATACAACAATAAAGCACCAATGCGTTGTCGATAACTTATATTGAACTAACTAGTGATATGGTCGTATCGTAATTTATCATTACTGGTCTTCTAACTAAATTTAACACAGAAGCGTAACTGTTATTATATTTAAAATTTCTATAAATCTTAAAAATTACTATTAATTTTATTTCTAACAATTGTTGGATCTTTCTGGATAACCTAAATTGTTTTTGATAAATAACATAATAGAACTACTTACGGATAACAAAGTGCTCTCTACTGATTTCATTCCATTCGCAATTGCTCTGTCGATTGATAATCAATATCTTAACTTTGCTCAGAACCATTTAACTTTGAAATAATATTTCGATTGATGGCCCTAAATTTATTTTTCTCGTTTGTTAGAGCAAGCAAAATTTTAATTATTGATTAATATACGCTTAAATATTATTATATATCATATTATTTTATGACAAATTCAATCGTATTTATTAATTATCAAGATAGAGAGAACTGCTTTTAATATTTTAGAAATCATCACACGTCTATCCCTTTAAAATTTAAAACAACAAGTCTGTAAAAATGTAGTCAAGCAAAATAAAAACTAGTCTTTTAACAATTCTTTTTCAATACGACAGTAATTGCAAACAGTAGTGTAACCAGGTGAACAACTCCCTTATCTTTGTAAATAAATAAAGAAAGCATTAAATTAGTACACGAAAAAGATTTTAATGTGTAAACGCACGTATACACATTGTATACAATATCTAAGAGATTTTTTCTTCATTCATAGAGCTAGTGGTCATATCCACAATGATACAGTGGTGAATGTACTGTAACTTCACTATTTATAATGCTCAACTGAAATGTTCACGAAAATGAACATTTCAGTGGAGATAGCAAGTTTTAATGAGCCTTTAAAGAATTTTCATTTGAGCAATTTCATTTATATATTAATATATTTTTGTTATAATATGTCATTACTAAAACAAACTAAAGAAAAACTTGCGAGAGGCAAAATCACCCCAAGACGGAAACTTATTAAAGCCAAAAATTGCATGTATTTCGGCATTGGAATCACTTTCTCCCCACAAAATAACCTGTATAATTTGGAATCCATGAAACGCGAACGCAAAACTGTGTGTTATACTTCTGTTATTAATTGACGTTAATTAGAACTAGTGAAGTAAAGAAAATTAAGCAAATATTGAATCGAAAAGAGTGATTAAAAAACACATTAGGAATAAAATCAAGTGAATGGAACGCCGATACACGAACTGTAATCATAGTGGTGCCTCGTACTTCGAATTTAATTCTTTTCAGGAAGCCGTTCGAACTTTGAATCATCCGAAGTCCGAATCAATTCTTCCTATTAGAAATAATTTAAAATGAATTCATTCCCAGACTTTAAACAATATCCACTTGTTGCTTCCACACACTTCTCATAAGCTATGGTTAATGTAGAAAAGACTATACAGTATTGTCTTAAAAAGAAAGATTTTTCGTATTTTTAACAGCTGTCGTTACTTAACTGTTTTAATAGATGTGTAATTTAATTATAACAATTGTTAACCTTAACTCATTATTGCTAATGTAAGATTGTAATGTTTGTTTAGAAACTTATTTTAAACCTTTTATTTCACATTTTGTTTTAATAAAATCAAGTTCAAATGCTTGTTTGTTATATTTTTTTACGACAACGCGATGCATGAACGATATGCCAAGGATGAATGCGTCCAGTGATGACTTTGGGAAAAAAGGCCTAGTTTAGATGTTACTAGTGTGAAGCAAATCTGCAAAATACCACCTGACCAGCTTGGCAAGGCACGAACCACGAGCAATTACCAGTGTTGAGTGGTTTTATACACTCGGGCACTGGTGGACAAAGTTGAAATATCTTTAGATTAAAAGCATATGAAGCATATTATTCTCTGAGTTTCCGACAGGATACAATACCATACAAATAGTATTTTAAACGAAAGATTCACCCTCACAGTAAATCTGTGAGGGTCGAATTATAATTACTTGTATACCAAAAATATAAT